GGTCAGCCCACACATGTGTCTGTCCCATCACCGTGCTTAAGAGTATCCAAACTAAACTGATGTCCCACCCATACGTGGAAACTCCCGAGATATTTATTGGAATAAAAAATAATAATGATCCTTGCATTTGATGCAGCGCCTCATCACGTCTTCGAGACGTCTCAAAGCCCTTCACGGAATATACTGTAAAGTGAATTTTTAAATAAAAAATGCGGTCACTTCAATCCACGCCGTTGTGCGCAATTGGCTGCCGCGTTTCGCCCACAAAACATAGTGTCAATTCACTTTACAGTATATTCTATGAAGTGCTTTGAGACGTCTCGAAGACGTGATAAGGCGCTGTATCAAATGCAAGGGTTATTATTATTGTTGTTCGATATGGCGCCTTATTACGTACTTCGAGACGTCTCAAAGCGCTTCCTTGTGGAATGACTAAAAAGAAAAACTCGAACAGTTGCAGTGAAAAGTAGTTCATCGCCTGAAGAGGAAGGCTGTGGAGAGGCTTGTTGTTGACCCATGGGTGCGAACGAAACCCTCACAGGCACAAAGCAATTTAGCCCAGCTCCTGGGAGAGTATCTAAGCCTCTGTTCGGGATTCGCCTCCCATATGTTTGCGATGCATGGAGCACCTTGTTTTATACGAGAGAGAGAGAGAGAGAGACAGAAGGAGGGCATTGAGCAAGCGAATCTGTGGTAACATTAAAAGGCTTCTCGTAAGATTGACTGCCTGACAGCCTTTGAGGGACCCTCGCAGAGCAGAGGACAAATCTGCTGGCAGTGTGTCTGCATTTATACCGAGAATTAATATTGTGCAGAGAGACCTCCCTGAGGTGGTAAAGGCGCCGAGACTCCGGCACAAAGCACTTCAAGATCAAATGGTTCACGTCAGATTTATTCAGGGTATTTGAGTGCGTGCGTGTGTGTATGTGTGTGTGTATGTTTGTTTATCTGGGTGTTTGTGTGTGTATTTCTGTGTGTCTAAGTTTGTGCGAGTGTGTGTGTGCGCTTGTCTGTGTTTAAATTTCTGTGTGTTTGTACGTGTCCTTGTGTGTTTGTATGTGTGTGTGTGTGTGTCTGTGTACACGTTTGTCCATCTATCTGTGTCTGTGCGTGTGTATGTCTATGTGGGTGTCCATGTCTGTGTGTGGCGTGCGTGACTGTGTGTGTGCGTGTTTGTGTGCATGTGTGTCTCTGTGTGCGTGTGCGTGTCCGTGCACGTGTGTGTCTGTTGGCGTGTGACGTGCGCATGTCTGCGTCCGTGTGCGTGTCTGCTGGCGTGCGTGTGCGTGTGCGTGTATTTGCATGCGTCTTGAGTGTGCACGGCAATCTTGCAGTGAAAAAAGCGACAGGCTTTAAAGTCCCGGTGTTTCCATGGTGAATTTCCTGCTCTCGTACCTGCCAGAGATAAAGGAGACGCCATCCTCAGGTGGCTGAGGAGCCAGTGGGATTCATAAGCTCCAATAAAACCCACACAAAACACCGTTCATCTATGTCAGCACTGCCAGAACAACAGAGAATAACATTTATACAGCAGGAGGGCATCTGAAAGTGCTTCTTCACACGACCAGCTGGGACCGTAGCTGAGGTGTGTGTGGGGGTGGGGGGAAAGGTAGCCAATAACAGGGTCAAAGAGGGAGGGAGGGAGGGATGAAGGCGAGACGAGGAGAGTGGAGAATGGTTCACGGTTTGCTCATCATAGTTGGCGTGCGAGGGACACGAAGCCGGTTGAGTGAGGGTGGGGGCGGAGGAGGTGAACTTTTCTCAAACAGCCCAGTGGATTCTTCACCTTGACCAACGAATAACAACAACAAATTGCATGTGTATATAGCGCCTTTCACATCGGGGCGGGGTGGTGGGTGGGGGGGGGCATTATTTGCGAAACATCACATAAAAAAGATCGAAAAGAGTTTTGCAAGGGATCGGGGCGGCTGTTCTTCAACGTGCAGTGTGTGGCTTTGGTCAGGTGAAATGGGTCAACAAATTTAGAGTCGTAGAATGTTACAGCACAGAAGGAGGCCATTCGGCCCATCGTGTCTGTGCAGGCTCCTTGGAAGAGCTACCCAATCAGTCCCATTCCCCCGCTCATTCCCCATATCCTTGCAATTTTATTTTCCTTTTCAAGTACCTATCTAATTCCCGTTTGAAAGTTATTATTGAATCTGTTTCCACCCATCTTTCACAGGCAGCGCCTTCCAGACTGAAACAGCTCTTCTCCATTTCAACCATTCTTCCGATGTACAATATTGATAATAATAATCCTTGCATTTGATATCGTGCCTTATCACGTCTTTCCAGACGTCTCAAAGCGCTTCACAGATTATGCTGTGAAGTGAGATTGATTGAATGTTTTGTGCGCGAAAAGTTTAACCCTCTTCAAGAAATGTTTCTCCAAAGACAATGACGGGGAAGCCACGAGGCAGCAATTTCAAAGCAAATTCATTCCTTAATTAGGGAATCTGAGAGGTGACCTCCTTCCGCAAAGCAAAAGTCCGGCTGGACGATTTGTGGGAACGCCGCACTGAAAATTAAATGTGTCGGCATTCCTGCCGGTCCTTCATCAAGGATCAAATCCAAACCGTATAACAGTGAAGCTGAACTGGAGCAGTCGGTATTGGATTTCGGGAATTCTCTCTTTGAAGTGGAAAAAATTCTGGTTGAAATGAATCCCGTGGCCAAAATAAAAGGAACTGACGTGGCAATTAGTTCCCTTTTTTTTATATATATGGAAATGCAGAGAAGGGAGTCGAAACGTGTGGGAAGAGACTGCGGGGGTTATGGAAGGGGAGGAGGAAATTAGGATGGAACCGGGTTGAATGGCCTCTTTTGGTGTTGATGAAATAGCAATTTTGTTTTTTTTCGCAAGACGTGATTAAGGGTGTTTCAGCAGCAGGAGGAAAGCAGCTGACACACCAAAGGGATCGATTACTGAGTACTGGGTACACTTTATTGATTGGTCATCGGCTTTGAGGTTTTATTAGCATGTAACAATCCCAGTGTAGCTTACACATGTCAGCTTCCTGTAATGTCCTTGTTGACATTAAACCGGCCCAGTCAAAGAGTCCTCGCCTTTCATTCCATTGACTTTCTCTCCTCGTAACGCAATCCCTGTTTGACGAAGCTGAATATCTGGAACACCAGGCACTCTATCCCCTGACATCAGTTCGGCTGAACGAACGAGGTGCTTGTTCGCATAACGACACGGCGGCAAAGTTGTCTTTTGCAGATGAAGCCACAGCCGTTCATTCTCCTGCGAAACGCGCAGTCACTACACTTAACTCGATACACGTGGAGTTCTGTAGCTTATTGGTTAGAGCCCTCGCCTCGCAAGCGAGAGACCTGGGTTCGACTCCCGGCAGGGTGAAACGTTGGGCAAGTTTCCTTACTCCACACGCCTCTGTGTGACTAGCTGTAGGCACAAACCCGATTGTTAGTCGATTGGAGGATCACTTTTCCTGGGGTAATAATTCCTAAAAAAAAATAATAAATTGGTCATTTTCAATCCACGACTGTTTGTGGGACATTGCTGTGCGCAATTGGCTGCCGCGTTCGCCCACAAATATACAGTCAATTCACTTTACAGTGTGTTCTGTGAAGCGCTTTGGGACGTCCTCCCGACGTGAAAAGCGCTATATCAAATGCAAGGATTATTATTATTATTATTATTAAAAGGCGTTAGCTATACAAATGCAAATTGCATTGTATTGCATTAACAGTAAAATCGTTCAAGATGTCTTCCTCTATGTGAGAGCTACTACCTCAAATGCAAAGCTTATTGACAACGCTGAAACGCTTTGCAGTTGAATAGCCAGAGCGGCAAAGATGGAATAAAAACAAAGTAGAGTGATTCAAATATCACAACCGATTCCTGCGATGGTGCTTTGTTTATTTGTCATTAATTTCTCCCGAATGATTTGCCACCCCGCTAAGAAGCTAATGGTGCAGATCGCTGCGAAGGAGTGCAATAAATACACTTTAAGCTCCTTGAAACTGACCAGCTGGAGATCCGGCCTCATTTTGGTGGTGGTGCTGTTTGCATTAGTGGAGGGCTGTAGCTCAGCGTTTCACCCGCAAAATATTCAGTCAATTCACTTTCCAGTATATTCCGTGAAGCGCTTTGAGACGTCTCGAAGACGCGATAAGGCGCCAAAGTCAATTGCGAGGATTATTGTCATTAGCGTGAGCAATACTGTGATGCACAATCCAATCCGGTTTCCGTGTTTGCGAGCGCCTTTCACGTTGGGCGGTTGTCTCGAGGAGGGTAGAATCGAGCGGAGTGACTGTGTGTTTCAAAATGCTTCACGCTGCTGGCTGGCCACCCGAGCCAGAGCATCGATGGGAGGGAGGGTTGTGATTAAGAAGGCGCTGCACAGACAAAGCGGGTGACCAACCATTTAACTAACGCTGAGGAAATCGATCTCGGCTGACTTACAAAATACTTCTGTTGACAAGCACGGGTTTCAGCACAGCTCCCACTGTTATACTGGATTGATACTGGATTTCTCTGCTCCTCAAAATCAAAACATAGGCTGAGTTGTTCATTAAGGTTTGATCAGCTGGGTGTCCGACACACACAGAAACCCTTCACTGGGTTTAAGAGTATCTAAATCAGATTGAGAGTTCTGCATCTGTTTGCCATCTGCACACAGAAATATCCCTGTGTCTCGAGTGGAACGCGCACTCTCTGTCTCTCTCTCCCCCCCACCACCCCCCCCAACCCGGAGAGAAAACAACAACAACAAATTGCCTTTACATCGCACTTGCTGACGCACCCTATTTACCTAATCCCAGAGGTCATTAGCTGCAGGTTCACAAGACCCAGGCTGGCCGGTGGCTTCCTTTTGGTGGACAGCGAGTAACGTTGTCGTAAAAATCCCGCAAAGCGCTTTGAGGAACGTCCTCACGAGGTGGAAGGCGAGGCGTCGGGTCAAATGCGAGGATTGTTCCTGTGTTTATGGGGCGCAAACGCCTGGTTGATTCTCGCTGATTATGTTGTGTTGCAGGATTCTCATTCTGGAGGACGGCAGCCTGAGAGTAGCCAACGTGACAAAGAGAGATGGGGGTCTCTATACGTGCATCGCTCACAACAGTTTCGGGTCAGCAAACAGCACGGGGTCCCTGGTGGTCAAAGGTACGTTGACTGATCGACTGATCGTGTTACCACGGTAGCGTCACCCGTCGGTTTCTAGCTAATAACTACAGAGCCGTGGAGTCCTGGAGTTCAGTGGTTAGAGCACTTGCTTCACAAGCGAGAGGACTTGGGTTCAATTCATGGGCAGAGCAAAATGTTGGCCAAGTTTCCTTACTCCACGCGCCTCTTGTTATCCTAGCAGTAAGTAGGAACCCGGTTATTAGTCGATTGGCGGATCGCTTTTCCAATCGCTTTTTATTTTCAAAAAAATAAACTAAAAATAATTTGGTCGCTTCAATCCACGACTGTTTGTGGGGACGCTGCTGTGTGCAACTTGGCTGCCATGTTTCGCCCTCAAAATATACAGCCAATTCACTTTACAGTATGTTCTGTGAAGCGCTTTGAGACGTCTCGAAGACGTGATAAGGCCCTGTATCAAGCGCAAGGATGATTATTATTATCATAACGTATTGATTCAATGCCAGACACGTACTGAAGGATCCTTTTCGCTCGTGGGGCGAAAGAGACCTGACAGAAATGGCAGAAGGTGAAAGGGGTGGAGCAACTGCACCGATGATGCCATCGCAAGTGACCCTGCGCAGGGTGCAATGTCACATTTTCTTCCCCTCGCAACAAAAAGGGCTCCTGCTCCCATCATCGAGGTAGCCAATTTGCACCCAGCAACGTCCCACAAACCCTTAAGTAAAGAAGCGCTCTGGGACACTCTCCCGACGTGAAAGGCGCTGTATCAAATGTTAGGGTTATTAATATTTATTATTATCATTGACGTGTGTGACGCAGTGCACATTCGGGCTCGATTTAGGCTCCGAAACAATGTCAGCAGTACTCACAGAGAGAGACGGCAGGCTAACACTTATGCCATAGTGAAGCTTTAAGTCCCCCGTTGATACTCTTTTTAAGAAGACATTAACAATATCAACACCTGCCTTTATCCTGCAATGCGAAGCGTTTTTCCATCTGAGCGTGCAGTATTTAGAAGAACGTTTACAAACACAAGAGAACCGGCTAAACGACGTTCAACCCGCAAGCCACATTCTGAAAGGGTAATAGGGAGTCTGCACGCTCAGCTCAGTAGAACGTCGAGGAAGAAAATCTCTCGGAGTCCCTTTCCGAGCGAGGGAGAGGGGAGGAGAGGAAAATTGAAAAGGAACCGAGAAGATAAATGGAATCGAGTTAGAGTGTCATTTTCCGTGTTTCAATTTTGCAAAGTGAATCTAATGACGTTGTATTGTGTGTGGGAGAATCCATTAACTGAGCCGAGACTCAGTGATATTCTCTGTGACCCGGTTCCCTCTGTAAGGCTCACAAGAAATCCGTTTGCAGCTCAGCTGATTCGATGAGAAAGGCCGTCTCCCGTCGTGTCTGAGAACCCAACCGCCCACTGATGTGCCCAAAACTTTTAAAACCTATTTTCCGCGAGATCTTATCCCCCCCCCCCACGGCTGTTCGTGAACCCGCGCAGTGCGCAAACTGGCTGCCACATTCGCGTACGAAACACAGCCACTGCGATTTACGGGAAAATCCTTTTTGAGATGCCTTTGGGATGTCTCGACGACTTGATAAGGAGCTGTGTCAAGTGCAAGGATTCGTATTACTACGTTTGCAGCTTGCAAACAGTAAATTAGCCGCTCGTCACCAACACACCCGGTATTTACCGCGAATGCCGTGAAGCGCTTTGAGATATTCGGACGTGGTAAAGGTGCGTGGTTAAGAAAAGTGACCACAGCGTCGCGGTCAAACTCAGCCCTCAGCTGATCACAGCGTTGCTGACAACGCTTAAGAAATAATAATAATCCTTGCGTTTGGTGTAGCTCTTTTCACGTCGGGAGGACATCCCAAAGCGCTCCACAGGATTCACCGTGAAGTGGATCGACTGTATTTGGGGGCAAACTCGGCAACCAGTTTGCGCGCAGGCAATGTCCCACAAGCAGCCAAGAAGTGAGAGACCAAGTTTTATTTGGAGGGATTGTTGGCTGGGAGTCCAGGAGAGAGAAACTCCCTTCTCTTTTCGAACAACACCACAGGATCTTTAAAGTCCACCTGAACAGGCACAGACGCGACCTGGGTTCAAAGTCTCACCCGAAGGACGGCACCTCCATCAATGCAACACCCCCCCACACAGCGCTGCATTGGAGTGTCAGCTCAGCCCGTGTGAGTTCAAGTTCTGACGTGGGGCCAAGGCTGACACAAACCCACTTTTAATAATAATAATAATAATCCTTGCATTTGATATAGCGCTTTTCACGTCGGGAGGACGTCCCAAACGAGAGAACACAAAAAAACACAAAGCTGCTTTTAAAGCACGAAAAACAAATGAATGAACATAGCGAATAAAAGCAAAAGCAAATAGGTTAAATTTCCCCCCCAATTAAGGACCTGCTTTAAAGTCACCTTCAGAGTATGATACATGTACGGCTGGAGATGCTGTAATTTTAATATTCGTGATTCGATTCTCAACACCGCCAATAAAGACTTATTGCTCCATTAATACACCTCTCTTGTTCGGGTGCTCTGGGAGGTCAGTCCTTCTCTCTGGCAGGGGCGATGTGTTTCGGGAGGGTTGTGCTCTGTAAAATCGAGAGGAAACAAAATACCTTTCGGCTGCTGCCTTAAATCAGTATTACCGGAGCGTTCGCGTGTGAAATAGGTCACTGTTTAGGGTTACAGGGCCTGTTTAGAATTCCCTTTCTCGCTGCTTCCTCCTCTCCCTAAGGAAGCACGTTGCTGTAATTGGTTTCTTGAGAATCTATTCTTAAAAGCACCGGTGCTCCGGTATTTTAGCAGATGTAATTTTGTTTGTCTTTTATTTGGGGGAGGGTGGGGGAAGGTTCTGATCATGTGTGAGCTCGTGCAAGACAGATTTACCAGTCAGAGAGGAAAGTATTTTTTAAGGGGTGGGGGGAGAGAGCGGGAATGTGACCCTTATTTTTTCATATATGTGCCACTGAGACCCATTTGATTCCTTTTTCCCTTTTCCCCAAAAATGGGATTTGGTCGTTGGGGGAAGGTCAAAAAGGATACGTTTCTCACCTTTCCGTCTCCTGCCCCGCCGGCCGGTGGTTTGATGTTACAAGATATTTATCAACCGACTCACTTCATAGGGATCGGGCCAGGGGCGGAAGTCATCTTTGAATCCGCTAATGACACCCTTAAAAGATTTTAATCAGGGGCGCCCCCCCCCCCTTCCACTTCGTATAACGCAAATATCGAGAAATCGTCATAAAAATGCCACATTGAATGAAACAAAATTCCCTTTTTTTGTGTGTTTTAACAATAACAGTCGTTCAGGGAGTGACCGGTTTGATTTGGTGGGTATATTGGCCAGGACGCAGGGGTGAAACTCCCTTCTCTTTCAAATAGTGTCAGCGTCAGTTTAGACGATGTGAACTCAAAGACCCGACACGGGACTTGAACCCATAACTTTCTGATTCGGAGTCAAGGGTGCTAACAACTGAGCCAGGCGAACGCACAGGCCATAACGTGTAGCGATAGTACGTTGATCAATCCTGAGCTATGATAGATATTGCCTATTTACGTCTACTTTTGAAAATGTCAGTCTTCACTAATTGTTGTTAGTTATCAATGCCACTTTTTCAACCAAAAATCATTTACAAACGGCACGATCGACGTTTGAGAATGTTACAGTAACTCAGCACTCACCTGCATAAAAAATCAGGTATAGACAGATAGTTTTTGACAGACAGCATTGAAATAAAAGCGCACAGTTAGAAAACGTCTCGGATTTCAAGAGCAGAACGCTCTGGTGCTGTAATACGGTGCGTGGCACTCGGAGAGTTAAACAGCGAGTGATTAGGACTGGGAGAAAAGGGTTGCTGAGCCTGGACGAGTGCAGCAGAGCCATAATTAATATCAACAGAGATATTCATTAACCTAGCAAGTTTCAGGCAGTGGATAGGTTTCTCTGTGAATGTTAATGAAGATCACTCACTCACTCACTCACTCACACAGTCACGATAAATCAGCTACGTGGTCAGCCAGGTTTCGGACTCACACACAGACACCCACTTAGGAGTATCCAAACCAACCTACAGAAACGTTCCACAACGCATGGCAAATTTCCGTTGGCCTGGTATGGAACGCGCACGCTCTCCCCAGAGGGACGCACCCTGCTCACCTCATTCTGGAGAGCTTGGGCCCTGTTTGGCAAGAGTACATCCTCACAGGTTTCCAATAACGGCCCTTGTGCCTTTTCTTCAGGTTATCCTTTTCCTGATTTCCTTCTTTCCTACCTACCTTCCCTCTCTCTCTCTCGCTCTCGCTCTCGCTCTCTCTCTCTTTCTCTTGCTATGTTTCTCAACTGCAGAGCTCCAACTCCATGCTTGGCTGCATTGGGATCAATTGACGTTCTGTGACTGGTGCACATGTAACTGGATTACTGGTGCTCGAGAGCATTACTGATGCTGCCTTGCTATTTTCTTATGACATGGAGAGCCCTGTTCTCAGATGGCTACTGGCTAAGCTGTTGACATTTAACTGGAGGTGACTTTCCTTCACATAAACGTGTACTTAGTAAGCAGCAGTGACAGATTCCAAAGAGCGGAGTTGAGTTACAAAGCCCCCAAGGTTTACACCAGGCTAAATTAAACTAATGGTCCGTTTTCTCTCTCCCCACGCAAACTCCCGCATTAAATATTTTGTTGGGCTTCTGCAAAGCCTAATGCAAAAAAAAAAATCCATTTTGGTTTACTTGACTTCCATGATCCCCTAAGCCTCAGAGGAAAATCTTGGAACAGCTAGAATTTACAAGAAGTTTCTTTGCTTGTTGCAGTTTGAGAGAAGTCTTTGTCGGGTTTAGACAGAGAGCAAAGCCTTGTTCAGGGGGTAAGTAGGAACACAATAAACATTTGGTCACTCAATCCACGTCTGTTTGTGGGACGCTGCTGTGCGCAATTGGCTGCTGCGTTTCACCCCCAAAATATACAGTCAATTTACTTTACAATATATTCTGTGAAGCGCTT